TCATTGGAAGTTGTATCGTGCAAAACGTCTTTAGCATGCATAGGAAAGTCCATCACTGGTAGAAGCTGCCTGAAATCTCCAAACAAGATGATGGACCATCCGCCGAAAGGTTCGTTATTATTTTCAGGAAAGGCTTCTTTTAATCTTTTGTCCTATCATGCTTTTTTCATCAATAATAAGGTAAGTACATCTTTTAATTTTTCTTGTAGTTGCTTAAGCCTGTTGCCGTCTAAATCTGAGCTTTTTTTATTGAAAATTAGTATCGACAGTGTTGAATGTATTGTCGAACTATTAATATTAAAAGAAGCAACTCCTGTAGGTGTGATCACCTTCACTGGTACTTTAGATCTTTCCATTGTACATAGCCTCTTTTGTATTGCTCTGATGAGATATGATTTTCTTGTGCCTGCTGTACCCATAATTATTATCCTTAATGGTTCAACCGAATTACATGTGAGTATGCTATCATAATGTGATTCTATTCTGTTGAAAATAATTTTTTGCTTTTCATTTAGATTCTCATAATCAACAGAATCATCTATTTCTAGATTGTCTATGGCTTCAGTTAAAAACTTCATTGACAAAGTTGCGCGCTTTTGTGATGTTATCAGAGGAATACCGTTGTTGAGTATCATTAACCCAATCATGATTCCTATCTATGTCTTGAGAACCTAGATTGGATGAACACACTATATTCACGTTTGGTCCCGTTTTGGAAAGACGCATCCAATCATACCTAAATTCCTCTTCCTCATCGTCTTCAAGCAGCTCGTCTTGGCCTTTTTTGTTTGGAATCTCTTATTCATTTTCGATGGGCGATCCAAGTAAGTCTACTGGATCGCTATTGATTACATCAACATATTGACAATAAATTGATGACCAAGACACACTGTCAGATTCTCTTAATTGTTGAATGCTTCTGTGTTTTACGTGGAGGATAACTTTTACCTGATAGTACTCTTCCTATTCGTCACCATTACGAAGAGGTGATGATCGTAGCCATATGCAAACAATATTTTTGGTTTGCATATTACCCAATCAATTATATTACTATATTATACAAGTTTTTAACAATTATATAATAATAAAATATTATTAAAGTTACCTAAGATGAATGCATATCCAAGTTTTTATAGTGTTTTAATTTTAGATAATGCATCTATACACAAAGGACAATAATGCAAAAGAAATGTGAATTAAATACTTAATATCTTATTCACCAGATTTTAATCCAGTATGTAATATTATAAATTTAAATTTCATTAATTTAAAACTTATAACTTTTTTTGTTTATTTAGATAGAACAAGCATTTTTTTTATATAAAAAATTACTTATGTCAAAACCAAAATTGGATTGAATCTATACAAAATCTTAGATTTTGCAATGTATAACTATTGATAAAAATTTATCTAAAGTATGTTTTGAACATAGTGGATGTATGTAGCAATATAATAAATTTTTATTATTAAATAATAAATAAAGATTTAAGTATTAAAAATATATATATATTATTCATTATTATCACCAAAAAGTTCATCAAAATTAATAATTATTTTTTCTATATCAATCTATAAATGAATATGTGATTGAAAAAAACTTCAATTATTTATTCTGACAAATAAACTCTTCTGTCTACATAAAGTGAAAATTTAATAATAAACCTACTTACTTCTGGAGAACCCATCAGAAATACAAATTTTATTAAATCTTGAAAAGTCATTCCTTTGATTATTTGAATATTTGATTTGTATGGTGATTTCTTTTTAAGATGAACAGTAATTAAATCAGGTTTTGTCTTTGGTAATTTAGTTGTAATTGGAATTGAAGTTGAAGTTAGATCTTTAAAGTATATATTAAACTATAAAATAAATATAAAAAATTAATGTTATATAAATAAATTAATATTATAATAATAAAATTACTATCAATAATTGTATTATTATTATTATGATTTTATAAAGGTTTTTTGAGATTTAAATAATGATAATTAATTTTATCAAAGATTTTAGTTGATGGTGGATGAGTTACATCTACTTCATTAATATTAGCAATCTTATAATATAAATTTAATTAAAATAATATTTAATATTATTAAAATTTTATTATTTACTTACTATTGCTCTTGCCCAAATTGCAATCATCTTATTGTTTAATTTAAGATGATATCCATCCTTTGTAATTAAACAACCTTGGATATGATATTCACATTTAAGAAGATTTTTATATATTTTTAAATTTGTAGTATCCAATGGTGAGTCAGAAGAATTAGATTCTGATATCTAATTTTAAATTAAAAATTTTTTTATTAAATACTAATAAAGCATCATTTGATTTTAAGTTAAAATGATCTGCCTTAGTATTAAAAGCTTTTTGATAACATATAAGACTAAGCTCTATCTTTCCCCACTCTTTTAGATGATTATGAGACAAAATTTCTTCTTTAATTTGACCGAATGTACTCAAATTATCTAAATTATAAGAAATATTAACTGCTCTATCTAGTTTTTTGTGTGGCTACTTGAATCTATTGAAACAAACTAATGTGACATATTCTAAATCAAAAAATTTTAAGTTTATATAAAACTAGCAAAAACTTATTACATAATATAATTTTTGGTTGATTTTGTATAGTTTTTGGCGGACTTTGTATAATTTTTGATAAACTTTGTATTGATAAAGCTGATGGAATAGGTAATGTAATATTTGTTAAATCAATACAATTTTCTTCTATAGGAGAAGTAAACTGCTAAGCTTATTAAAAATAAAATTATAGTATATACTTATAAGTATAAAAAATTAAAATAAAAATTATATATAAAAATATACCTTTCTTTTTTCTATGATATCCATTCATACAACTTTTGCAAATTTTTATATTACTTGGAGTTGGTGAAAATTCAATATGTGAGGAAATATTAGCAGAAGCTCATTTGACAAATTCAAAATCCAACGCAACTTTTGGTTTGTAGTATCATTTTGTGTGAAAGGTTTTGGACAAAAATTTACTTAATAGTCATGATCAAATAATTTTCTTTTCCATTCTATTTTTCTTGCCTGACAAGTACATTTTTTATCATTGTTAACCCTACACTCAACCGTTGAACTTAGGGTAACGATTACTTGATAACAGGGAGTAATACGTATAATTAATCTAAGATTACTATGAAATAAGTCCTATCACAATCAACCTTTATCAAAATCAATAATAAGTAAACACGTTGAAGGGTTTTGTGTAGATGATATACTTGCTAAGTAATTTGTAATTCATTTATTGTTATCTTCATAACACTTTATTAATACTCTAAAATTAAAAAAGTTAGAAAAGTCCTTATACTTCACTAACTTAGAAACTCAATTGTTAACAAACGTTTGAATGTATTTGAATCTTAAGTAAGTCTCTTCTACATGAAGATTCTGAGCTGAATATTATTGCTACTCAACTGATTAAATTCTTAATTGCCAATCAGATAACAGTTTTTGGTATAGGTTGAGTAGGCAAATGTAGTTGAAGGTGAAAAGTAATTAAAATCATAAATTCATACCTGAATGGAGGAAGCATATACTTGGTATCTCTTCCAGTATATCAAGTATTAGAATCGAGTTGATAAAGGGCATAGTCATTTGTATCATTATTCATGAATAAATAATTATAGAACATAATGGAACCAGAATTAAGAAATATAAAGCAAAATAAAGAAAAAACTATCACTTAATACATAACTAGAATAGGAAACTTTAGAAAAGAGTAGTTCCCTTGAAATACAAAGCTAAACCAGATCGGATAATGGATTTCATCTGAGGATTATAACCTTAGTTTATTAAGGAATCATGCCTTTTACTGTAGAACAAGTGATATTCCAAGCCAAAGCAATAGAAATCACCATCAATATTGAGAATGATACTACCAGAAAATCAATAAAGAAAACCTTCCAGAATGCAACTCCTAGACGAAGTTATATACCAAAAGAAGAAATATTAGAGGAAACTATCAAACGAATTATAGGATAACAGAAAAATAAAATCAAACTGATCAACCTTATAATGAAAGGAATCATTATAGGAAAAACTGCATTAAAATCAAAATATTCTAATTGCTTTAAAAACAGACACCTTGCAAAAGATTGTAGAATATCTTGAAAATCTAGATGCTTTAATTGCAAAGGTATTGAGCATATAGTGTGAGATAAAAGATTAGTTAAAGAGTGATGATAATAGCCATTAATTCAGCAAGAGTAGATGATGGATTGTGAAGGTAAAGGAGGAATATTGCCATTGGCAACAAAGCTAAGCCATCTGGGAGACCAATATTTCTGAGAGAGCCATCTGTATAGAAGGAAAGAAAAGTTGCATTGGGGCTAAATTAGTTAGTTGAGTCATTGTATTGTTGTCAAAAATAGGAATAGTATCAGGAATGGCTACAGAAGGCTATTTCATGTAAAATTAAAGGAGATAAAGAACATAAGCGTCTGATATTATTTTCAGCTTTCAGGGTAATTTCAGAACATAAAAGTAAAGGATTTTTGAAACAACATAGGATAGGGACTGTCTCCAAGGCATCTTTTTGTGTAATGTGTTGTCTGATCATTGAGAAGATATCCAAAACAAGGATTAAGAATAGTTCTATACTGCTCATCTATGGTCGTTATATGAATTTTTCATTTGATTAAAACATTTAAGAGGATTTAAGATGTAGATATACTTATTTATAAGGGAAAATACATTTATTGAAATATTATAATATATTGAATGGTTTTTTTTGATATTACACATTGTTATCATCATGAATATATAATCCAAACTCAACACTATCAAGCATAATTTTTTTTTGCAACATCTAATGGAATACCTTTAAAATCCTCTGCAATAAGTCTTATTGTGGAAAGAAACTGCAGAAGAAAGTAAAATACTAGATTTTATTATATATATGTATGCATGTATGCAGCTTGTATAATGCAAAATTTATTGTAAATGAAAATACTAAATTAGGTTACAGAACGAGATGAATGAACCTAAACTCCTTGGATTTAGTATAAGTAGGGTTGTTAAACGGTCCCAAATGACTGTAAACAAATATTGAAATTACGAGTTATAGAAAAGTCTAATCTCTTATCTATAATAAGTAACCCTTGATAAATAATTGTAATAATAAATTTTATGAATAACTTATAAAAGAAATATGAACTTTGGAATCGATAATTAACATGGGACCGCCAAGATGGAACCCAGTCCTTAGGACCGGGTCCTATGTTTCGAAAATTAAGATTCTGGATTCCCGCATAAGTTTAATATATATTTTTCAATTAACAAATTATCATTAGAAAGTAAAATATAATGCCAGTAAAATAAAAATCTTTTCTAGAACTGGCAAATTTATTGGGACTTTTAGGACCATTTAGGATCGTTTAACATCCCTAAGTATAAGTGAACTATAAAAGCTAAATTAGAAATTAGTTCTAATAATAACAAAATTAATAATCTAAAAAGAAACATAAAATATGCTTAAAAAAAATTACAAATACTTATTGGTAGTTTTACAAGTAATCAGTTCTTATCTATAAATCTTTCTAAATGAGTTAGCCTCATCATTTATTTATTGGATCCAAATAGCAAACTCTGCTTTATCTGCTCTGTTCCAGGTCACCACTCAGATGATTGTAGAAAAGCTAGACAAAATCCTAATGCAACACCTATATCAAAGATATCAGCCTGCTCAATTCAATTATTATACTGCATAGTAAACTGTTTCTAAAAAGATTACATTTGCTTAAATGACAAATAAGGATAATTGACCTAATCTTGAGTTTGATACTTAAGAAACCCAAAACAATATTACCATGATCTAATACGAATGCTCATGTTCATGGAAATTGGGCAGACAAATCAGAGTTTTTTCACCCATCTTCCAAGGGTTATCCAAAACCTATAATTGATATTTCAAATTATGGGGAACTGGCAATTAGGACAACTTCATGATCTAAATTCACCAGCAAAAGAGTTACATTCCTAAAAACTCTTCTAAACGTGTACTCTACTTCCCCTAAACAAGCCACCACTATCACTCAACAACTTTACACATCATGTTCAAACTTGACATGTGATGACTAATCTTAATACAAACGCATCCATGCATAACACTAATATGGTAAAAATGATCTTTGACATACACTTAACCACATCTCTCACATGTATCCTCCTAATGCAAAAGGTCACATTTTCATCACTGTCTTTGTTAATTTTTTACCTGGAGACAATCGATTTGATCAATTAATCCTTATCAATACTTTGTTTTGCAAACAAACCTGGTTTTGTTAATAAGTAATTCGACCTCACAAAATTCAGGTCGATCAATGCATACTGATCAACATTTTGCATTCCCAAGTCCTATACATTCTACATCTAATAATAATAATAATTCAAAAGAAAAAGAAAAACTTCCAATAGCTTTCTACCAATAACAGATATTGATCTGCTTACTGCCATACTCAACAAACTACAAGAATTAGATTTGATTAAAGTTCATCTAGCTAAACTAGATTCACAATTCCTCAATTTCTCTAATCATAATGGGGTATTAATGATAAATGATATTCATACTAATAACTTGAATATTCCAGCTAATAATATGGATTTCTCACCAACCAAATCTTAGCATTTCATACACAATGCGAACATATCACTAACAAAATAGACTCAGATTTCAAACATTAATGATGATATTACAAACAAAATCATAAATGGAGATACTATCAAATTGCTACTCATAATGTTCTTGGACTGGCCGAAAAAACTGACCCAATTAAGATATATATATGTTGACCTTTTTATATAAAAGGTCACATAAAACTACTCTGCTCACCATAGACGTCTTCTACAAAAAGATCTCCTCCAACTATTTGATCATTTAATCATTATGGGAGATTTCAATGTCGATATAGATTTATATCACAAAACTTAGAGACAACAAACCTCTGGGATTGTGGCTTTCCTTAGTTGAAGGTCTTTCTCACCGAAATTTCTTGGACTTACAATTAATTAGTATCAAGGAAATCATACCCACCTTCTTTCCATACAGTAATAATAATTACAAGAAGCAAACTCTCGTTAACAAAACAGTAAATGAAAAAAGTTCAATTCATCAATCATCAAAATTTTGACTACCTCAATCAATTGAAACTTCCTACCTACTTTTGAATTCCCCAGCACCTTGGATTTTAACAATATCACTTACACCAAACACCTTATCCTTCAATTGTACCATATAAAATATGAACTGCTCCAAAAAGATGATTCACACTTAATCAAAAAACCATGTCAATAATCACTTTCAAAGTTTTGCTGTTCCTTCTTCTCCTGTTACCTATTACCCCTTTGTTTGGAAGATGGATTGATCAATTTCATCCTAAAAATGATATTGACGAAAATTGGACTGCAACATTATGCAACCTCTTCTTTTAAAGAATGGATAGTGGTAGTTTCTCATCTTTCACATGATAAAGCTGGACCCTCAGGAATTCACAACGAGATGATCAAACATTTAGGTCCACTTTTGCAGTTACTATTATGAAAACTCATTAAAATGTGTTTTTCTTTGAAAGTTGCTCATATTTATCCTATTCCAAAGCCGATGAGCTGGGACTGTAATATTACCAATTACTTTATTGGAATCTCCTAGAAAAGCTATAGTGAAATTATTACCAATCAACTACTGTATAATGATGAAATATGATATTTTGAAAGGAAATAACTTTGCAGGCCTACTAAAATGCTCTACTGAGAATCCTATAAAAATAATGAACATGATCATTAAAGATTCTGTAAAACATAAAAAAGAAATCTGGATCCTCCTACAAGACTTATCTAAGGCTTATGACCTTAATATATTAAAACTCTCTCTCAGTTGTCTAAAAATTTCTGAAGATTTTATTACATGTCTCCTCAACTTATTTCACAATCCTATAGTGTATATTTTTGACCTACTATTATGTGAGATTGACCAACTCATACCTGGATTTCAGATTTAATCATATGACCTCATCTTCTCTTTCTGTTAATATATATATTTATATAACCAGAACTAGGCTCTGTTCTTTTCTTGGACTTATGGATTAATATCTTTAATTTGTCTTGTTCTCTTTTGTTAAAAACCAAACCAAAGTTTCTATCGCCTCTTTATCACAATTCTTAAATCCAAGACCCTCACTGACAAACAATTAATTTACATATTAAATATGGTTCTTCTTTTGTTGAAATATCATGATCAAACAACACCTTGTCATTCAATGAATGCAATCAACTTTCTTTTCATTTGCATAGATTACTAAAAACAACTCTAATTTTGCTGCTCTTCTTTACCAGTTCAACTCCAAATCTTTCTAGTCAACTCTTTCTACAACGAATTTTGATATAACGAATTTTACAATACAATGGATTTTTAGTGTCAGACAGATTTTTAAATATAAAAAAAACCTTACTATACCGAATTTAGTAATTATACCATGTACGTTTGAAGATCACGAATTTGTAGAATATGGTGACCCTGAGATGTCTATAAGGTGTGATGGTAGCTACCACCAAAAAGGTGTAAGTTCGCTTCGTTTAGATCCATACCATCCTGATAACAGGTAGTGGTAATAGATATTCTCATCTATCGTGAACTAATTGAGTTTGGAACCGATAGTGGGGCTGGTCTGTAATAGACAAGTGCGCATTGTCTGCAAAGGGTACCTGTGAGGATAGGATCAATAGTAGGTACTGTATAACTTGGATTGAATAAAAGTCACAGGTTATAGGTGGTTGATATTGTAGTGTCTTTAATCATCATGGTGCCTATATCACAACTAGGGTTTTAAGGCCAGAGTTCGATTCTCTGGGTGATTTTGATGTATGGCGAGGCAACTATGGTGTAGGCTATCATCTTAGGTTGTTCTTGACCCTAATTTCCAGTAGTTGGATGAATGTACATAATGACAGGTACCATGCGCACTTCCACACAGGTTTGTGATGTGGCAGTCTACTCAGGTATTTGACAATCATGTACCTAGAAATCGCATACTCACACTGGGCTTAAAAGTGTCAAAGGTGGGTAATAGTGCTTCATCACAAATAAGTCGTATAGCTACTTATGAGCTGTGCGCACCATGTAAGCATCAGCGCGAACCTAGTAAAGCAAAAAAAAAAAAAAATGCTCTTTGTATAATGCATTTATTTATAACGAAGATTTTTTTAATACAATGAAGATTTACAAAATTAATTTTAATAGAAAAAATCATGAAATTTTGTAATTTTTTGTGCTTTAATAAAGTTAACGAAAGTGCTTTGTATAATGTTTTGCAATTTTTTTTATAAATGTTTCTTTGTTTCACATGTTTATCAATTTTTTTTTCATATTTCTTTAACATAAGAATGCCAAAAGTAAGTTCTAGTAATGAAACTTTAAAAAAAAAATGAAAGTCTCTAACTGCTGCACAAAAAAAAAGATTTGTTTAAAAAAAACTTCATCTCCGTTACTAAAACAAAAAGACCTAGCAAACGAATATGAAGTTAGTGAGGATATAGTTAGTGACATTTTAAAAGAAAAGGACCGTTGGCTTGCTGTAGATCCTGAATCATATAAAGCTGGGTTGAAACATAAAAAAAAGACAACCTTTTCTTTTATTGAAGAAGCTTTAACTCTTTGGGTAGAAAATGTGTTCCAAGCTGATCTCATTATAACTGATAGTATTCTTTTAACAAAGGCTTTAAGGTTTGCTTTTTTGTGTGATGAGGATAAATTTAAAGGTTCCAGTAGATAGGTAGACAATTTGAAGAAATGGCATAACTTACGGCAATATAATATACATAGTGAAGCTACAAGTACGTCACTTGATGATCTCGATAATTCATAGCGTTCTTAAGAATCATGATTCTAATGACGTCTTTAATTGCAATGAAACAGGTTTATTTTGAAAGATGAAACCCAATCGCATAATATCAAATGGTCAAGTATCTGGAACTAAACAATCAAAGGATCGTATAACTATTCTACTTACATGTAATGCAACTGGAAATGAAAAGTTGGCTCCTCTTTTCATACACAAGTATGAAAATCCTTAGATCCTAAAAAATATTAATAAGAAGACCTCCAGTTGAATATTACTGGAATAAAAAAGTTGAATACAAGTATCAATTTGAAATGAATATATTAAAAAACTTAATAACCGAATGATAAGGCAAAATTGAAATATTCTTCTCCTCGTTGATAATGCCCCAACACATGTTCTATATGAAACTACCCAATTAACAAATATTACCATCAAACACTTTTTCCCAAACACTACAGCACATCTTCAACCTTGTGATCAAGGTATCATTAATAGTTTTAAGGTAAGAAACATATTCGATTTAAACATTCCTATATTTTATACTTTATTTATACTTTAATTTAAGTTTAACTTATTTAGGCACAATATCTAAAGCTCTATCTACAAAATCGGGTCAAATCTTTTGACCATTTCAATGATTTTCATATCAAACCTGTAGAAATTAATATTAAAAAGTGCATAAAATATGTTTCCCAAGCATGGAATAATATAATACAAGAGACAATTCAAAATTATTAGTTGAAAGCAAATATTCTGCCCAATAATAACAATGATAATAACGAAGATGAAACCTTCACCAATATACAACTTGAACTTAAATGTCTAAGGGAATTGGAAGAAGTTCAAGTTTTAATTGACAAACTTATTTTTGATGATCCTTTAACTACCAAAGAATTTGTTCGATTTGATAAGTCTGAGATCACAGAAGAAATGATATCTGATGAAAAAATTGTAAAAGCAGTTTTACATAATGAATAAGAACAAGAAAATGAAAGAGAAGAGGATTCTTAACTGACAATTACTCATAATGAAGCTATTGATGCTTATGATAAAGTAATTTTATATTTGGAACAATGGGAGGAAATTTTCAATGTAAACAATGAAGAATTAAAGCTTATTAAAAAGCTTAAAAAAGAAGCTTTAAAAAACCAGTTTATTTCAGTGAGATAAACAAATCTCAATAAGTTTGTTACTATAATTGAATAATAGTAATTTTTTTTTAACGTAACAACGTTGATAATAATTTGGGACCATTTTTTTTATTTTATAATTGTTTTTTTTAACGCAAAAACATTAATAATTTGGGGAGTATTTTTTTATTTTATAATTGTTTTTTTTTAACGCAAAAATATTAATAATTTGGAAAGTAATTTTTTTACGTAATAAACGTAATGATATAATAAAATAGTGTAATAGGAACACAAATTTTAATGCATTGACTAAATAACACCCCTGTGATAGTGTTAAAATTGTGTTGAAAAATTCATATTGTTTTTTATAATTTTTAACTAATTTGTAATGAATTTTTGTTAAACTTGTGTTGAAATTCCTATTGTTTTTTTATCAAATTGTGGTGTTGTTTTTTTATAATTATTTATATTTATCATTCAGGTGATGAATTATTATTGTCTCTAATTATATGATCTACCGTATTAAAAAATTCGCTTAAGTTATATTTGTGTTGATCTAATTTTATAAATAATATAACAGTTAAATTGTTTTTGAAATCTGAATCAGAATTTTGAATACAAAGAGTTTGAGCATTTCAATTGTGAGTTTATTGTATTATTCAAGATATCAAATCAGAATTTTAATTCAATAATAAAAAGATTTTTCACAAGATATCAAATCAGAATTTCGATTCAATAATAAAAAATTTTTTCATAAGATATCAAATCAGAATTTCGATTCAATAATAATGAAATTTATTTTTAAAGGAAAGTATTTTACTATCATTTAACTTTTCACTTTTGAAACTTTTAAAAAAATAATCTCTTATTAATTCAAAACATAATATTTTCAAATTTTTAATATTTTACAAATAAATCATCATAAAAATGGCTGTTGCAAGAATCGTTTGGAGAGATGTAGAGATCAATTACTTGGTTGAAGAAAGAAGAAGAAAAAATCACAAATATTATTATTTTATTGTGAAAATAAATTGAGATTTTGGCAGAGCGTTACGAGAAGAATAAATCACCATTATAACGGTGATTATTCTTCTCACCAATGCGAGCAGAAGTAGAGAAATCTGGTGAGGAATTATGGATAAGTAAATAAATAAATAATAATATGTTGATAAATATAATTTAATAAGTAATTAATATGTATCCTTTAGGACTTTTGTGATTGGCGTAATAGTGCGAGAAGAAGGGAAAGGTGGTCGTATAATGGAAAATGATTTTATGATCTATTTTGAACTAGGTTTTGGGATAGACCAGATAATTATTATATTTAATTGATAGTTCTTAATAAAAAATTTTATGAATTTTTAGATTTATATTAAGTATCTTTTACATTTTTTAGTTACAAGGCATCATCGAAGGAGAGCCCGTAATATGCCAATAGTAAACTAGTAGTTGGAGGATGGGGAGTAGAGAGTTTAATTTTTTTATTTTTTATCGAGGTTTTAATTTTTTTTCATTTTTATCATGGGGTTTTATTTTTTTTTAATTTATTTTTTTTTTATCAGAATGGGTTTTCATTTTGTGGTGTTTTATTTTTTTATTGTTATTTTTTATTATTTTTTTTAGTTTTTTATTTTTTATTTTTTTTCGAAATAAATAATATTAATTAATTGTATTTTGAACCATCATTAATAAATTTTCTTACTTTTTTCTTTTGCTTAATGAAGAAATCTTAAAACTTTTAAAAATAAATTTATATTTATCATTATAAATTGTTTTATTTAAGATTAATTCTAATTTTTGCATTACCAAAATTGCTTCAAGATCACTTTAACTTTAACCACAGAGAGGTTATTCTATAAATGATATCATAAAATTAACTTTAATTATATATTAGTAAAATTATGTTTACATTTTCCTTTTTCAGTAATCATTTATTATACTGAATAATTCGTTGTACTATATTGAATAATTTATTATAGTAATAACGAATTTTCTTATAATGAAGGGCTGATCAGCCTGAACACTAACTTCATTATATTGAGGTGTAACTGTACTGTCACCATATATCATCCAATCAAAATTGTTTAAAAACAGAAAACTAGAGCTGATAAAAACTCTCAAATATATGAAAATATTTAATATCGATAATGTAAGAGGAGTGGATTTTTGTATATTTGACTTATCAGAAGATCTTGATGAGATTCGTCATAAGTTGATACATAAATATTTTTGCTGTGAAAGTGTTGGATATTTTACCAATGAATGTATTTGTGATGTATATGGTAGTCGTAGTCATAATTTTACGAGCAGTCATTATGCTGTTATAAATAATGCAGACCTGATTATTCTCCCTGAAGAAAAGGAGAAAAAGAAGCTATAGCTTAGTAATAAGTAATTAGTAATTTAAGAAAGAATGAGAAGAAGAAGTCAAATCAATGCAAGTTACTATTTATAATTTCGAGAAGATTAAAGTCAAGTTAAGCAAAAAAACCATTAATTAAGAAGCAAAAGAAACAATTAGTGAACATGATAAAGCAATCAAAAACAATCTAAACTATTAATAGAGCAAAGGAATGAGATCAAAGAATTTATAATTTATGATGATATTATAGAACTATATAAATATGTAATAGCAAAAATCTTAAATGCTAAAATACACAAATAGCTTACCAGCAACTTTACCTAACTTCACAGAGCTCCATTGCAAATAACTAAGCTACCAAAATTACCTAGTTCCTTAAAAATTTTTCGATATTGTGACACTCTAATAATTTTCTTATTAAAATTTAATTACCGAACTTCTTAATTGAACTTTTTTATTATAATACTCATATTTCTAAGATAAAAACCTTACATAATTACCTACTAATTCTTCAATGCAATCATACAAAAATAACTGGCTTACCAAATTTTTCTAAATCATTAACTAATCTCACTCCTAGATATTTGAAAAGCTCTTCCTATTCGAACTTAGCTTACTAAATTTACTCAATTCTTTTATTGTGATCATTTTTTGTTTAATAAAATCACGTAATTAGATAAATAAATTTTTTTATTATTTATTCATTTCTACTACATTATAATTAAATATCTCAAAAAAATTAAATCATTTCCAATAACTTTTATCGTGAAAAATTAAAATCATTTTCAAAAGATAAACGATTAATAAAGCTATAATATATCTCCGGATGTTTGGATTTTATGCAAACCCAGAATTTTATAGAGATTAATAAAATTTAGAATTTTTATCTAATCGAAATGCAGCAAATTATCTCTAATAATTACTTGAACAAGTATGAAAATAACATCGAAAAAATGATAAAAATGAAAGTGGATCAGCACTATTTATTTAGCAAAATTTCAGTTAGACTTAAAATTTGCAGCAAAAGTTGAAATCTGTTGAGCTGATTTTTGCGAAAATTATAAAAATATTCTGAGAGTAATCGTCCCAAAGAAATAATAGAAATTATCCTTAAAGGAATGATACAATCATCCCTAAAAAGATAATAGAAATTATTCCCAAAGGAATAATAAAATCGTTCCTAAAAAGATGATATAAATTATTTCAAAAGGAACAATAATACTTTCTATATAACTTTTTTGGATAGGAGTGATTTATATTAGCGAAAATTTAGTAGATATAGTTTTTTTTATATTTGTAGAAAAAGGTGTAAAAATCATGTAGTTAGCAATAGTAATAAAAAATCAATTAGTATAGAAATTTATAAGTTGAGAAAGCAAAGAAATAATTTGATGCAGAGACTCGTATTAAATGGCCTAAGATCTGCATACATACATTTTATAACATTTTTCTCTAAAAAAAATTATGTTTATAATATATATAATATAAAAAAAATTAAGTTATATTGGGTGGATTCAGTATATAATAAATATTCACAATGATAAATTGATAATTATTTTTTACAGATAATTGATATTAGTATAAAGAACCTCATATTTTCTAGCTTAAGAAATGTGTTTTCATAATTAAATTTAAGAACTATTCATAAAAATTAATAATTTAATCTTTAAACCTATTTAAAAAACTGTTTTTCTTTTTAAAGTCTTCTTTATTAAATTTTTTCTCAACTAATGAAATAAAAAATATCTTTTATTTATAATAATATTAACAAGCTTTCTTTTATTAGTAAAGAAAAAACTGAGCTACGCATTTTATTATGAGCAAAATCTAACAAAAGTAGAAGAAGTTCTTTTAATGATAACAAAAAATGAGAAAAAAGTTGAATACTTAAGAAAGTACAATTCATTTTCCACTTATTCAAGTGTTATAATAATTTACAATCTAACAATTTAATAAACATTATAAAGGTTTCATTCTATCTTGTTCATTAAAAAAGTGTGTGAATATTCTTTTCTATTTGTAACAAAAAAGAATTTTTCAAAGTAAAGAAATTGTAATTTAACATAAAAGTCAATTTACTAGAGCATATGAATAAAGTGAATTTAACTTTTCGTAAATATTGCACAATATAAGATATAAATCCCCAGTTTTACATACTATCACAGGTCGAACGCTGATAAATTGAGTACCTTTCCGATTGGTTACTATTTTTTGATTAGCAATTAATAGATAGAAATCGGTAGATACGACAATCATGCATAAATCAGTTAATACCATAATCATAATTATTAGGTAGAATTACATAAATCGGGTTTCAACCTGATTTTATACTTATTTTATTAAATTTATAACTATATGTTAAATAACAACAAATCGGTTTTAATTAATAATTAGTTATTAATCAGTTTAATATCCGATTGATGATTATTATTCAATTAGAATTTACTGATTGGTAGCAATTTGCTAACAAGTCTCGTTAAGATTTGTTAACAATTCGTAATAAAATTTGTTATATGATTTTGTTTAAACGAATAGTACGAAATTCGTTATAACAATTCATTATAATGAATCTTTTAACAAAATTTGTTAACGATTCGATTTGCTTAACAAAATTTCATTACGAATCAGTTAACGAAATTCACTACAATTCATTATAACAAATTTCGTATAATGAATTGTTTAATGAATTTCGTACGATTCGGTTAATGAAATTTGTTATGATTCGTTATTATGAAATTCGTAACAAATCGTACAACAAATTTTGTTAAGATTCGTTTAAACAAAATTTGTAATGAATCAAAGAATTTCGTTACGATTCATTATTACGAATTTCATAATGAATCGATTAATGAAATTTGTTATAATTCATTAAAGAATTGTTCAACGAATTTTATATGATTCAGTTAATAAAATTCATTATGATTCTTTAATCGAATTTTGTTATAAATCAGTTAACGAAATTCATTATGATTCGTTTAAATGAATTTTATATAACAAATTGTTCAACAAATTTTGTATGATTCGGTTAACGAAATTCATTACGATTTGTTATTACAAAATTTGTAACAAATTATATAACAAATTTCGTTAAGATTCGTTTAAACGAAATTCATAATGAATCGAAGAATTTCATTATGATTCGTTTAAACGAAATTCATTACAATTCATTAAATGAAATTTCGTTATGAATCAGTTAACGAAATTCGTTACGATTCGTTTAAAACAAATTTTGTATAATAAATCGTTCAACGAATTTCGTACGATTCAGTTAACGAAATTCATTACGATTCATTATAATGAATTTCGTTACAAATCGGTTAACAAAATTCGTTACAATTCGTTATAACAAATTTCATTAAAGAATTGTTAAAAGAAATTCGTTAAAAATTTGTTAAACGAATTCTGTAAAATGATTCGTTACAGTTTTTGTTAAACGAATTCGTATAATGATTTATTATGGTTTTTGTTAAACGAATTCCGTAAAATGATTTATTATGGATTTTGCTAAATGATTCATTATACGAATTTCGTTTAAACGAATCATAACAAATTTCGTTAACCAATTTCGTTTAACCAAATTTTGTAATAACAAATCGTAATAAATCGTAATAAAATTTGTTGAATGATTCATTACAAAATTCGTAATAATAATTCATTAAGAATTTCATAACAAATCATAATGAAATTCGTCAAACGAAGACGAATTTTGCATTTTAAAGCAATTTTCATCGTTTCGAAGACGAATTTTACATTTAAAGGTAATTTTCGTCAATTCAAAAACGAATTTCGTTTCAAAGCAAAATTTCGCCAATTCGAGATGAATTTCATTGTTTCATAGTGAAATATCGTATTCAATGACAATTTTCATTTTCATTAACTTTTTGATATTATTTGTTTACTATTAATCTTATCGTTATATATAATAGTAAAACATAAACATATATATTTAACCTTTTTTAGCAAATCGGAATCACCCTTTCTTCTTTTTCTTTTCTCTTTCTTTTTTTTTTTAGAAATGCTTTTTTCTCAATTTTCACTAATATTTTTTCTTTTTTTATAGTAAAAATTCTTTCTTTT